GCTGCTCATTCCCTCCTGGAGAGCATAGTGTCAGTGGAAGGGGGCTGAACGAATGCTCACCTCATCCCACCTCGTTTCGCATCGGCAATCACACCGCTCCCGGCCGACGGCACTCTCTGGAGTTTTTGCCTGGCGTAACCCAGGAGGTCGCTGACATGAAGGGACCCTTTTTTACGTCCCGCGCCTTTTCCCGCCAGTTCGGATGATCCGGCGGGAAGGTTTTTTCTGGGCTCCATCCCGGCTCGCCGTCCTGATCCCATCTGGCCTCGGTTTTCCCAACAGGACGTCCTATGGGGACGAGGCCACAGCCGTTTTCCTGGTAGATTGGGGGGCCGGCTTCCACAGTCCGCACCCATCACCAGAGTAAAGGGGTTTTCACTGAGCGGAAATTCCCTCAGTGCCCCCTGGAGCCGAGCCTGACGGAGACTTTTCTCGGAGCAAGATGTCCAGGTGGACCAGCGTCCCGCGCCTCCGGTTAGCGTAACCCAGATGGTGACACCGCTCTCCGACCGAGCTCACCAGCATGCATTTCAGACGGCCACAGCAAACAACACGTTACGCTGTTGGCGTACACGTTCAGAGGCGGGAAGAGACGTACGCTCCCTCTGCAGGGCAGCTGACGTCATCCTCAACTGGTGCGCCTCTTTTGCTGTCTGCCGGCCCGCATCGAAGCCGGAGGACGGAGCTTTCAGCGTTTCCCTGAGACCGCCAACAGATGGCACTCTAGGACAACAAATGGCAGATCAAATGACTGTTTTTTTGCGGAGGATGTGTGTGAAGGTGACACGAGTTAGGTTTAAAACATCATTTAATGATGAAAGTGTCTATTTTTAGCCAGTCTGTCAGCTCGGATGATCTGACAGCGGCTCCCTCTCACATCCTCCACACGAAATGAGCCGGTGGCAAGACGTTCCACGGCCATCTCGCTGAACGTCACCGCAGCCCCGCCCGTCAGAGACCGGCTCTCTTCATCCCGGCAACAGAGTGTCCAACGTTTTCCCAGAGATCCCCAGCAGACGGTGCCCTGGGCCAACAAATCCCAGAGCTCACGGGGGAAAAGATACAAAATGACGGTCTGCGGAGGGTGTGTGGAAAGATGATACAATGTTGAAATAAAACATCATTCAATGATCAAAGTGTCTGTTTTTAGCCAGTTTGTAAGCTCGTATGAACTCACAGTGGCTGTGCACACATCCTCCACAAAAACGAGCCGGTGTCCTTAAATAAAGGTTTTTCAAACTCACCGTTACTCCAGACATGACGAGACGCTCACAGAACACAACAGTGGTAAGCGAAATAACTCGTAGTCAACCCGAGCTGCACGATCTTCACCCAAGCGATGTCAAACGCGCACTCGCGCAACGCAAACAGCCTTCACCCAAACGGCATTGCGTTAATGATGGTGCACACACAGCTCCCCAGTGTTTACCGGCTCACATCGGCATAAATGTGGGACCGCAGGTCAGGTCAGTGGAGGACCTCGCTCTCAGCGAGAGCGACATGCAACGCACCGAAGCAAACATGTGACGCCGCGGCGAGGGCAGTCTTCCCTCACCACTCCTCAGCACTCGGCCGCTCACGTCAGCATCAGCGTGAGACAGCTGAGCGAACCCAGTGACGAATCTCGCCCCAGCGAGAGCGGCGCGTGTCCCACCATAGAAAACGCGTGCTCCGGCGGAGCTCGCAGCCTTCACTCAAACGGCATGGCGTAGATGAAGTCGCGTTCACCGCTTCTCAGCGCCCGTCCGCTCATGTCAGCATAAATGCGGAATCGCAAAGCGAGCCCAGCGCAGGACCCTGCTCGCGGCAAGGGCGACACGCATTTTTCACCGCAGTGGCGTCAAACGCGCGGCCCAGCAGCGTCATCAGCTGTCACACGCTTCTCCTCAACACAAGGTGGACCTGCGGTCCGAACGTAGCACACAGGTGCGTTCAGAGCCCTTTCGAGAAGCCTCACCTTGGGTCACACGGAACACATTCCCGCGACACATGACGGCAGTCGAGGCGGTGGACTGGATGACATCCGTACAAAACGTGATGCATCACTTAAATGTGTGTCCACTCCTCGAACGTTACGCGGAGTAGCTAAAAACATGCTCGCCAGACAGATGGATGGCCAGGTTGTTAAGCTAGGGTTACACGTTGCAATTTGCAACCCGACCCCCTCCGTTCTGAGGAATTGTAGAGACGGTCCTGTCATCACCAGACCAAATCTCATTCCTTAATGCAGAAGTTCAAGAACTTCTGGTAAAAGAGGTGATCTCCAAAGTTCCCAACGGAGAGGAAAACACAGGGTTTTTACTCACGTTACTTCCTGGTTCCCAAACGGACCGGAGGAACGAGACCCTTTTTGGACCTGTCAGCTTTCAACAAGGCGATCATGGACAAACGTTTCATATGTTGACAACTAGACAGCTGTTGGACAACATCCAGAGAAACGACTGGTTTGTTTCCATCGACCTGAAGACGCTTACTTTGCACATACCGATCATCCCAAAACACAGGAAATTCCTGCGTTTCTCTTTTCAGGGGATGAAGTATCAGTACAACAGGCTGCCGTTCGGTTATTCCCTCGCGCCTCGTACGTTCTCAAAGTGTGTGGAGACAGCCCTGCATCTGTTACACAGAGCAGGGATGAGAGTTTTATTTTACCTGGACGACCTGCTGCTGTTGTCACGCTCCAGACAGGTAACAGCAATGCGGGCTCAGGTGCTGACATCACACCTGTTAAATTTGGGCTTCGCCATAAATTGGAAGAAAAGCTCGATTCTCCCGGCCCAGACAATTGTTTATCTGGGAGTGGAGCTAAACTCAACTACCACGAGGGCTCGTTTATAACAAACAAGAATCGACACTCTAAAAGACCAGCTCCGCCACGTAATACCTGGCAGAGTGGTAACAGCTGTTTCCGCCATGAAGCTGTTAGGAACGATGTCATCAGCTTACACACTGGTTCCGCTGGATTTACTCCACATGAGACGTCTCCAGAGGTGGTTTGCGCGTGTGTGGATCCAATAAAACAAAAGAGACGGATGATCACTGTTCCTCCCTCCGTGAGAGTAGACCTTTGACACTGGGGAAACACCCTGGTTCTGTTGGAGGGAGTCCCCGTCAGCAGACCTACGTCACACGTGTCAGTCTTCACAGACGCGTCGCTGTCAGGTTGGGGGGAGACATGCCTATCTCAAGCTGTAGGGGCGCTGTGGCCCCATCACACATTAGCCCACATAAATGTTTTTGGAGTGTCGCACGGTGCTGAACGTGATTCAACACTTTGCTCCTGTGCTGCAGAATCAACACGTTTTGATTCACACAGACAAAAAGGTGACTGCTGCGTACATAAACCGGCAGGGGGGTGTGCGCTCAGCCCAGATGTTACACATTGCGCAAAAACTACTGTGTTGGGCACACCTTAATCTGCTCTCCATCAGAGCAGTGTACAGTCCTGGTGTTCTGAACAAAGGGGCAGATGTGATGTCCAGGGCGGCCCACGTCACGTGGACTGGACTCTCCATCCAGACCTGATGGTTCAGACGTGGCAGAAATTTGGCAAAGCAGCCGTGGACCTATTTGCGACACGAGAAAACGCTCAGTGTCAACTATGGTTTTCTCTGAGCCCGCAAGACGAACCACCGCTAGGGGGTGGACGCGTTGCCCACAGCCCATGGCCCAAAACGCTTCTTTACGCGTTTCCTCCACCTCATTTGATTTTACGGTTCTTGAACCGAGTTCAGGAGGAGGGATTGACAGCTCTCCTGGTGGCTCCTGAGCGTGTGAACACACCATGGTTCCCAGTTCTACGACGCCTGCTATCGGGGCACCCGTGGAAACTGCCGGGGAGGGAGGACACTCTCCTCCAGGTGGGAGGAGTGATCAGGAGTTACCCAAAAATAGGCCTGCACCTGTGGGTCTGGCCACCGAGCGGATCCGATTAGAGAGGATGTGTCTCCCGCAGGATGTAGTGCGCACAATCCAGGATTCACGTGCTGCATCTACCACAGCGCTGTACACATCAAAGCGGACAGCTTTTCAGCGCTGGTGTACAGAGAAGGGTGTAGAGGCCACCTCATGTCCATTAGGTGGCATGCTGTCCTTTCTGCAGCAGCTGATGGACAGAAATTTAGCGTCCAGCACAATTAACGTACGCTGCAGCCATCTCTTCCTGCCACGAAGGGCTCGGAGACAGAGCAGCTTTTAATCATTCGCTGATGAAGCGTTTTCTAAAAGGTGTACAGAGACGCAGGCCTGTTTCACGCCCACTTGTTCCACAGTGGGATTTAACGCTGGTCCTGCGAGCCCTGATCAAAGCGCCATTTGAGCCTCTGGATCAGGTCCCAATTAAATTCTTGTCTCTTAAAACAGCCCTGCTGATGGCTTTAACATCCGCTAAGAGGGTAAGTGATTTATCTGCCTTCTCTGCCGCTCCGTCATGTCTCAGAATTCAGGCTGACGGTAGTTCAGCTGATTTAAGACCAAACCCAGCTTTTATGCCTAAAACATCACAAGCTCTTTTTAATCAAGAGCGATATCGTGCGATATCGTTGGAGGGCCCCCCCCCCACACAGATCAGAAGAAGTAGCATCTTTTCATCTCCTCTGTCCGGTGCGGGCATTGACGTGCTACATAGCGTGCACAGCTGCAATGCGTCAACATCTGTTTGTGCATTATAGAGATGCATCTGCAGGTCTCCCATTATCCACCCAGCACTTGTCACACTGGCTGTGTGAGGCCTTTTCTGAAGCCTACAGAGCATTAGATTTAGAGCCTCCTGTCAACCTCAAGCACACTCGATCAGGGGTATCGCATCTTCGACTGCCTTGCATAATGGTATGTCAATGCAGGACATTTTGCACTGCGGCCGCGTGGTCAACACCCTGCTCATTCATTCGCTTTTATGTACGTGATGTGACGGCTCGTTCCATGACACATTCTGTCCTTAGTGCTCTAAGAGAATGAATATTGTTGTTTTCATGGAACTCTGTTTAACTCACATCTGTCTGCATGCATTACAGTGTGAGATGATGGTATCAGTCACAAGTTGTGACTGTTATTTTGGTTCTATTGTCACTAATCAGTTCATGACTATTGCTACCAATCAGTTCATTTGATTAATAATCAGCTCTCCTGTTATTATTAATCTGTTCATACTGTTCAGCCATAAACTGGTTGGTTCATGGCTCTTTTCAGATTTTTTCCCTCCCCGTTGAAGTTTTCCGGGCGTTCATGTATTCAAAACGCATAGTTACACAACATGTGTCTGTGCATGGCTCACATAATTACGCAATGCGTAATTACGTACATGGGGAGCTGAGTGACAAGACGTTTTTTGGGCAAGTTTCTGCTTCAAACGGTGTTCGAATGGACCCAGTGAGGCGAGGACCACATCTGCTTTGCCCTTAACCCATCGACGACAGCCTTAAAGGGTGAAGCCTATACGAAATAGAACGTTGGTTACGTACTGTAACCCCAGATTCTATGAGTATAGGCGTAGCCCTTTAAGCGTTGGGCCTCACTGGCTCCTAAATGGCTGAAGAAAAAGCTATTTGGGAGCCGATTACCCGCTCTTAACGTAATTTATACGGACCAGGTGGGGCCCACACAGCAGGTGGGCGTGGACTAAATTTTTCAGTGCAATGCTTCGCATATTGGGAAAAAAAACCATCAGCGACAGCCTTAAAGGGCTACGCCTATACTCATAGAATCTGGGGTTACAGTAGTAACCAACGTTCTGCTTGTGATAAGATGGTCTCTTTGGTACGCCCCCTCTTCCAAATCCAAAATGTGCACATTTTTGGATCGAGAACACAGATGGTTTGAGAGGGGGGTGAAGGAAGCAAGGAAGTAAAAAGGGAAAAGCCGTCTCTTAACAGAGGAGGAGGCCTCAGATTTCCACTTTCAAAAACCTATAATGCAACTTTAAGACTGATTACCCATCCGTTTTGCACACTTGATGGGAACATTGAGGAGCGAAACGTCTTCCATTACAAATAAAGTCCAGTTGTTTTTGTATTGAACGTTTTTTGAATTTATCATGTCCTGGATGACTGAGAATCTTCACCAGCAGTCTTAAATTTGCGTTATACGTTATGTATTCTAACAATGTTTCTAAACACTCAAAAAGAGCACAGAATGATTTCAGCTCCCTGCCATTTGCCTTCGACTCTTTACGCATACTTCTCCGTGGCAGAGTGGAGATCCGCTGATCACTTGTAAGAGGGAGCTCCAAAGCTGTGGGCTACACAAAGGTGCTAAGTAATTTTAATTTTTTTATTTTAAATAAAATTCCATGCCAATCACGAAGCTCATCCATCAGTCACTTGTGTCATGTCCAATCTTACTTTGAAAAATCGCAATAGAGCGAGTGTGCAAAAAGTGAACCGTGAAGTAGCAAAGGACTACTATATAGAAATGCTGTGTGTGTGTGCACATTTGAAGTTATAAACCTTGGAAAAGACTCTTGCCCAGCTTTTTCCATGTTGCCACTCTGAATCGTTGAGGCATCTTCTCCCGTCGCTTCACTTTTGCCACATTCAATGTCGACGACGTACGATTCAGACATAGACGTCTATGCATGCGATTACCTGAGGCATTCACTGTCACAAAAACCCGTCCCCAAGAGGTGGGCACTGGGCAGCCATACAAGCACCCAGCGCTGTCAAAAGAAAAGTTATTCAGCAGCAGGAAGCCTGTCAAAATAAAATATAAAATGATGAAAAAACAAAAACCACAGGGTCCAGTGTGAGAAAAAAGAAGTGGCTTGTACACAGACAATTACGGTAATCACTTGAGACAAATACATGATCACCATCAGTTTATTTATGATTAATAAACCTGACAGCTTCAGTTTTACAGATCACAGCTCAGCTCCTTTCATAGTCCAACTAATTCACTCAGCTGCATTAAACACAGAAGACTGATCCAGCTTCAGCAGACCAGACTGGTTCCTAGTGTAAATACTGTGCATGTGAAGTTGAGACCTCTGAGCCATTGGGGGGGGTGGGGGGGGGGGGTGTCTCTGCCACACACCTGGAATGACTGCTATTGCTGTGGCAATGAACACCCTCCCATCACATTTCAGATCACCTGAGTTTAAATATGCGATACTGGATCAGTTAGTTTGGCTAGCATCTCAATTTAGAGGTACAGTAAGAGTATTTTTCTTAGGTTTGTTTTAGAAAATACAAACATGAATATATCAAAAATTTCCAGCCTTTCTGAGACGGTGGATAAAGAGGTGTTTAATCCAAAAATAATAATAAAATAAATCCAAATCATTATTTCTGGGAAGCAGCTGAGGAAACCTGGTGTTGGCCTTAGCTGATGTGCATCTTCATGTGACAAACAGTACTGACACAAGTTTCACTGATTAAAGACAAACACCGAGAACAGAAACACAAGATTGTCCGTACAGTGTAGTCTTAGTTTGCATCCCTGATGTTTTCAAGCCTTCAAACACGTGTGAAACGCTCCAGGCATGAGGAGTTCAAGTTTTATCAAACAATAAAATTGTTTTCTCTTTATTTTTGGCAAGAGGTGCCATGGAGCAGCAGGAAACATTAAATATTAAGGAGGAAAATGTGGGATCAGTTTTAACCCATGGGCCTTAAATAAGAGCTTTGTCCTCCAAACAGAAATTCAAATCCACATTTACAAATACAATTAAACTGATCAAGAACAGTCATAACACGAGGCATTTCAATGACTCGTTCATGTCTTCTCTTAAATAGTGATGCCAGGTGGCCTTATTTACAGCAGGACACCTCTCTGCTCCGTTGAGAGGTGTGAGATGAGGTCAGTGGGGGCGGCTGCTCGACTCCGACGTTTGCCGCTGCCTCGGAGTGCTGAGTCCGTTTGTGCAGCCGTTGTGACGCTTGCTGGGTCCACCGTTCAGAATGTCTTGGATGTGCTGTACTATCAAGTTGATGGCAACTGCAAGATTAGATGGTTTTACAAAGTTTAAACACAACGAGACCGACCGACTGACCTTTGTTCTGCTTTGATGACTCTAATGGGCCACAACTTTTCTTTTGATCTTGGTTCTTACACTTTTTATCAAATTCATCAATCAAAATGTTGTAATTTTGTCAGATTAGATCACAAACGGACCCAAAAGGACAAAACAACCTAAATTCTGAC